AGTCTGTATGTGTTGTAAGAGGAGTCGAGTGTGTGTGTGTGTGTGTGTGTGTGTGTGTGTGTCAGGCTTTACTTAAACTAATGGCTCCCAGGCGTGCAGCGTGGCCAGACACACTGGAGCCGAGAGCCGAGCAGGAATGCCACTACAAACACAGAGAGAGAGAGACTGACGGACGCAGAGAAGTGCTTGGAAAGAGATTTTGCTGTGGAGGAGATTGGATGTGGATTTGGAACAGCAGTCCGCGCAGTGTGTGTGTGTGTGTGAGTTCAGGACGAGTGTGTTCACATCTGTCGCCCTGCTGCGTTACATCCACAGATGGAGGAAACGTCTTGCAGATGGAAGTGAAGGATTGTAACGATTTAGATAGAAACAGGCTCCCGTGCTCTTTATCATGTGTTTAAAGAATGATTTTCACCAAAATAAAATGATGAAACTCATCAATCCATGCTGTTTTGGTACCAAAGATGTTGACATTTTGTTATTAGTTTAGCATGTTAACACAATACTCTTAATAATCACAAAAATTCACAGTGCACACAGTAATATTGGGTAAAATAACCCATTTTTAATTAGAACTGTTTTGTGTTAACCTAGCCTAACAAAATTTGTTCTAAGAATGTCTCCCATTAAACATTATTTCGGAATGTTCTCGAAAGTTACAAAATGTCCAGTGTTTAAATGTTTCAAAAAATGTTAAATGAACATTCCATTTGATCATTTTGGATACATTATGCAAACGTTACTTTTGAATGTTCTCTGAAACAAATAGTAACATTTAAAAAATGTTAGATGAACGTCCAAGTAAAATGTTCCATGAACAATGTATAAATAATGTTTCTGCGCTAACGTTTTGAGAACATTATAAGTTTGAATGAGCATTCTATAGTAGTCAACATTTGAAGTGGATCAAAGCCTTTCATCAAAGTTGTCCTAAAACCTAAATGCGTTCTCGTCTTAGGACAACTTTGATGAACCTTTTTGATCCACTTCAAATGTTTGTTGATTTTCAAATATAAAACTTATTGAAATGTTTTCAGTGTGTGTATCAGTTCTTTTTGAACATGTTCATCTAATTTTAACACAACCGTGATAATATTGATAATCGTGATAACTTTGGTCACTATAATCGTGATATGAAATTTTCATACCGTTACATCCCTACTTCAAATGTTGACTACTGTATTAATGTTACTGGAAGAATGTTTGATCATAACGTTGAGAGGACATTGCCAGAACGTTAGCTAAAGTTCTGATAACATTCCCTGTTAGCTGGGAATATACTTATAATATGCGATTCCCTTGCTTTGTCTGCCACCTTGGATGTTTTTTTCAGACAGTTTGTCATAGTGCATTCTGGGATTGGCTTTTTCTTGAAGTATAATGTAATCCTGCTTTAGAAATTGGCTAAAATAAGGCATTTTAGAAGGCAGCATATGCTTTTGTGTTGTTTTTTAGCCTTAAAATACTCTCTAGGTAGGCAGCACACTTTAGAGCTAGTCTTCTGTCATTCCCAGGGTTTTTCATTCGAAACAGACTCTTTGTGGCGTCTCCATATGTGGTGTAATGGCCACACACTCCTTTCAGATGCATTTCGAGGCAGAAAGTCGTTTTTTTGTTTAAGCCGAGCTTTATAGATGTGCATTTACATGCAAATGAAGGGAGCTGGTGTTAACGCTCATTAACCTGAATAGCAGGCCAAACACACAGAGCACTGTTTGCACACAATCAACAGGTTTTACATCACTCTTGATTTTTACTCCCTCCATTCATGCAATTTTTTAGATAGCATATAAGATGGGCTAGTTTTAGTGTTTTCTGTGTTTGTCATGCAGCTCTGATTTATTTTGATTTATTTATTTTTGATATACATTATTTCTGAAAATTATGTATATTATAATATAATACACACACTAGGGTTGGGTACCGAAACCTGATGGCAGCAGGTAGCCTTCCGTTAACTAAGCTAAACATGCTTAAATTAAAATGCCTAAAGCTAAACCTCCCTTGTATTCACATTTCTAAACCTGTTGTCCAACAAAAGAGAACATTATAACCTTTTTACTCCACAACACCAGTCAGATGCTTCCTTTTGTGATCTGATGAGGCTTCTTGTCACAGAATGAGGCAGAAAATATGTTCCATATGCTACTTTAAAAAGAATACATCGATTAGCAATAAATTAGGGTGACCATACGTCCTCTTTTCCCCGGACATGTCCTCTTTTTGGACCTACAAAAATGCATCCGGCCGGGATTTCTTAATTGCCCAAAATGTCCGGGATTCGGCTGTTTTCTTAATCCCACTCCCGCTGAATCTCTGACCATTGCCGCCTGCTCCCGCAACATGTGTTTCGCTCCCGCGATTTTCGTGTCCACACCTTTAAACATTCTAATATTGT